TCAGCGAGTCTCTTTTTTCGACCCGTGTTTCTCTGTCTTTTTTGCTGGCCTTCCTCCACAAGGAAAGCATTTTGTTCGTCACTTATTGGGGCCTGGTTCACGGTCCAGCTGCGAATCTAGACATAAGTCAGTTCTCTCGCGCACAATGACGTTGGCAATGGCAACCTCGTCTCTATCCTCTCACCTCCATTCACCACAGATTTCATATGCCCTAGATTGACATTTTTGATCTCGAAATAGGCACACTGAATCGAATGAGCACGGACGTACACGCACCGTCTCGTTGCCGGCGAATCAGACACTGACGGCCGAAAACACAAGATCAGCACTAGCTTGAGCCTGCCAATCTCATCCATAGATAATAGTACCATAGAAGCGTATACAGATGACATTCAAGCATCAATCTCCATTGCCGCCAAGCTGCTTGTAATAGCATTGCTGCACTGGTAGCAGCAGTGCGAGCTTGCAAGGAAGAAAAGAGCCCGCTGCGTCAATATCTTAGGCGATAGATGGCGGCCGTCGTGCAGACGGGCCGTAGCCTCGGATTGCGAATGCCAAATTTCGAACAATGGAGATGTACGATTGCCGTCTGACTCCCTGTTTTATTTCTCCGGAGTACATGTGTGACATATGCGATACTCATAAAGCATCATCATTGCGTTCAAATATGTTGCCCTGCCTATAAGAAAAAGACAGCCTCGTCACTTAGGTTTTGCGTTTCGTTTAAATTATGGTATGTTGGCCAGGAACCTTTTGTCTAGTAGTAAAAAAATCCCGAAAACTGAAAAGTTTACGTATCGCGGATTTCAATGAAAAATTAGAGTACGTTGTTAGGCTATATCTAAGCCACGTCTAAAATGGGGTGCTATATAGATATTTTTTCCTCCCGACTTCGAAGTAGCGGTCGCTATCTATCTCGAAGTTGGGAGGAAAACGGTTGACAATAGACATTTTTTTCAGCGCCTCAGAAGGATATTCGAGTTATGTCACACTCTCTCTCTCTCTCTCTCTCTCACTTTATTCTAGTACCTCTGAAAAATCTGAAAAAAATTACCCACGCCGGTCTCGGGTAATTCGCAACAATGTTTATTTCTGTGCGATGAAATGCTCTTAGTCTAAAGAAGCGTAACACTAATGCCTGAGGTACGCTAAAACCTTTTCGTTTCCTAGTGCAGGACAAGCAGGATCCATTGGCTTTCATATGCCCTACAAACATTTATATGGATTTGATATGTCTAGTCTTCCAAAGTTGACCTCTGGCACCATCTCTTTATATGGATCTTAGACTCGCTAGTTCATACAAATGTTCTCTCCCTCGTTTTCTTTGTGTGAAAATATGTGTATAGCCTTCTGAGCGCATATATATGGATTCTACTAAGCATAGGGTGGCAGCGTTCAACGGGCGTGCTGTGCCCCTATTCTATTTCAGTTATGTGTAGACGTACAAATACACTCAGCAGCGACAAAACGGAGGCAGAAAGTCAGAGACATACACGGGCGGGGATTAGGTTGATAGAATCGCTCCTCTTCAAGCTACGCAAGTGATGCCGTGACAATGATGTTTGACATGGAAATACCAGTTTAGTTCATCCCAGTGTTCAATCTCTATCTCGCTGGTTCACTTCTCTCTTGCTCTTGAGCGCGAGCAGAAAACCCATTTCACTCTCCATGTACAACTCTACACGACTCGACCCGCCCAGTCCCTGTTTGAACTGGCCTGTGTCTAGAAGAGTCATCTCGCCCTTGTTCACCCACCATGTTCCATTCGGTGTCGGCACTTCGTCTCTAGGGTAAGGATTTGTTCGGGAAGGTTCATGGCGAACGGTCGAACGAACGAATGAACTGAACTCAAGCAAGCCGCGGTAGGCTAGAGAATGGGTTGGCCCGCCGACCCCTTGTTGACTGTTCCCGGTCCAGCTGCCACCAGCTGCCACCGGCTGCTCAGATGTTCACGTTGACTCCTCCATGAAGACGAATCGCTCCTTTGCCATGTTGTTCGACTCTTGCCTAACGCTTGCTTGTCATGTGGTAGTAGTAGTGCCGAGAAGGCAACCCCTGCCCGTAGAAAAAGCTACTAGTAGCACAACTAGTACAACTATATTCTTGCCGCTCCGTCACGAGTCCTAGTTTTCGGTCAACGCCTTGTGATGTCTTCAAGTTCGCTCTTTAGCGCGAAAGCGGATAGAGTGCACTCCTCGGAAGGACGTCAGCTCAGACAGGCCCCTCGTCTCTACAGCGGCTGCAACCTTTGCTACTCTGACCTTTTTGTTCCCCTTCATTGCCAAACGAAGACCATGCCGAGGGTCTCACAAAAAGGAGCGGTTCTCCTTCTAGGATTTCTAAGCGATGCCAAGTAGGCTTTAGGGGATGCGTCAGGAACGTTCTTGTCTGCCCATCCTTTAGAACGTGAACATGGAAAGCCCATCTGGACCATCACATTGACTGGTCGACAGGAGAGACTTTACCAGCGTATCGCGAACCCCTTGGTTCTATAATGTTTTCATCCATACGGCGCCTTTAGCCATCATTGCTTGCGCTGGGAAGTATTCGGCACTCAAAATTTACTGTCAGCCCTATCACGGAAGCATGCACTTGGTCATAGCATCGTTAGCAATTAACCACTCATTGCCGCTGGTAGCCTGCAAAATACTGACCCCATAGTCCCCCCATAACACATATTGATTGAGGTACCAATCAGCACTGTTGTAGATAAGACGCTGTTGAATATTATATATCTAATTTCTTTTTGTAATGGTAGTCTGGCTAGCGGTAGCCTATTCGAAGAAATTCCCTTTCCTCGATATTGCCATATCGGGATTCCTTTAAAAGTATTCACACAGTACATCGAACAGTCAACCGTGCATGCTGCCCATGACTCACGCGTCTTGTCAGGAACAAGCATTTCCCATGACAATGCAACATTACGGTTTTCCGAGTTGCCTAGCATAACTTAGCATCGAAAAAAGCTGCCTTTCGTTGCTCCTTGTATTGTTGTTCCCTCGCAAAGCTGACAAGATACTGATCACCTCTCCCGTTCGGTTTAGCCTGTTGAAAACGCCTGGCGCCGGTGTGCCAAAGAAATGCGGATACGCTGTTCACTAAACTAGCATACACAAATACAACGCGCATATGTAAGTACAGATGTATGTATCTCGGTGTACGTATAGGCGAGCTAGCTTGGCCGGATACCATGGGAAAATATATTGATATCTCGAAGATTATCTATAGTCGAAAAGGGCCCTCACTCTCCAGCGGCATAGGCAGAAGAAACCTTTACATCTCCGTCTACATTCGAGTACATTCCCGTCTACAAACATCTTTTAGAATAAACTAGATACATACGTTAAACACCTACGAAGGTCGTCTGAGTTGTCTATCTCAGACGACCTTCGATGATGCCCAGAGTCTTTTGATGCAGATGATCATGGCCGTTGATTAGTTTTCTTATTGGTCTCGTTAGAGCTCGCATGTTTTCGCATTACGCTGATTTTGAGGTTTTTGTAGACGGTTCTTCACCAATGTATGTCAATCCCGTTTGCAGGGCTTATTCGACCAAATTTTCTAACTACTTTCACGCTGTTGTCCTTTGTCTCTCATGTGCTGCTGTTTTACGTGCCCTACAGTTGTTCGAGGACCAAAAATTTTCAAAATATCACCTTATCGATTCCCGGCTCGTTCCAGACGATGGCTCTCTTGTGGATTCTTTCTCTCTAAAATGGGCCGATAATAAAACGGACCCGATGCGAAGATCCGTATGGCGCTCGGAACTCATTTTTCTCCAACCACCCAACTCCCCAAAACCGCTTAATTCTCTTCCTAGTGCATTGCTTTACTCGGAAAATTACTTGTTCTGCTACTATCGAATACCAAAACTCTCCACTTCACCCAGTAGCTTCCCTAAGTTCTTAGTGCCGTTCGACTCCCACGCCTGTCCTTCTTTTTGCAATTAATGGTAATAGTCAATATGCATATGTCTGTCGCATTCTCTTCGAACAAAGAATAGTAATTCATTCACGCTAGCCCTTTCCGACGGCAGCCTGTCTTTGTAAAGGCCGTCGGCACCGGCAATCATGGTAAAGTATGAGTTGTGTCTATGCTGGCAGCTAGCTGTAAGGCGCTGCGGAAAACGCAAACGCTGTGCAATTCCCGTACATCTACTGCTCCTTACGTTGGTCCAGTGCCATGCCGTCGTGTAATAATGCCATGAAAAGGTAAGAGCCTAGGGACTACGGACACCAGATGTACGGAGGGAGGTATTCGGAAACGGCCTTGCTTGTGAACGACAGTGAAGGCTCACATTTGCGACGTATAGAGGATGTCGCTAGGTCGCTGCTGTATGGTATACTGCTGCAGCCTTTTTTTAAAGCTAGGTCTCCAATGTCTCCTCTGGGAAAGAAAATCTTCGACAGTAGCACGAAAAAGTGCGACAGTAGCGATGGCGGTAGCAATCGAGGACGAAACGATGTGGCCGAGGTGGGTCAGCGACGTCCAGTTGCCGAAATCGTAGACCGGCACCTATCGACTGTGACGATCAGGACAAGGACGCAGGAGGCGAATAGCGAACAACTCGGCAAGGGGACTGAAAGGCCGGCGTTTGCCAAAAGCGAAATATTTAAAAATTTAAATCTGACTTACCATTGTAAAGGCAAGAAAAAAGAAAAGGCGAGTGAAAATAAGCGACGTCCTTGTGAGAACGTTCACCGAGACAGAGAATATATGTAGCCGCAAGGACGTTAGCTACGGAAGTCAATCACTATCTAACGTGTAAAATATCTCAACGATAAAGCGGCCCCATTATAATATCGAGCTGTGATGCCTTTGTTGTTTAGATCAGTGTGACATGCGGGCTCTAGACTAAGGAAATGTGCTTAGGAACATTTGGCCATTGGTATGAGAGCACAACCTATGGTAACACTAAGACAAGATGTAAAGGCAAGATGTATATTAGCGAGAATGAACTATTACGTAGGACATCAATAGTATGCTTAATTTGTTTGCAGAGTACAATGGCTTGAGTCGCGAGGAGCAGAAAAGAAACGCGTGTGATCGTGAGCGCAGTCGCATGAAGGATATGAACAAAGCCTTCGATCTCCTTCGCGAAAAGTTGCCTTGCTGTAAACCACCGGGAAAGAAGTTTTCCAAAATCGAGTCGCTCAGGTAACATACATATGGAAACAATACAATAAAACCGAAGTTTTGTCGAAAGAAGAAAAACGACCTTGCAGTTTATGTTTTGATTCGACACGTTCCCCTCCTTTCAATGATGGCCACTATAAATCAATTCCCAAAATGCGCACAATTTCTGGCTCCAAAATACTAGAATGCAAGGTAGCTAACGGCAGCATCCCGTGGGAATTATTAAAGGGTGTATATATATGCATATATACGTTTCCGAATAGACCAGACCATCTGTTGTAATGGTTTATTTAGATATAGACTAACTTACATAACTAACAGACGGTATTTAGTCTAACTGTACCCTAATCGGTTGAAAGAATTACCTCAAGAATAAGCTAAACAGCATCGTCTGCATACCTTCATGGAACGTTTTACAGTCTGTATATATATCACTATTTGCGATGGGATCTCGTAACAAAAAAAAAAAATTCCCATATTTCTTCTGCGGTAAGCGCGCGAACTAGCGAAGCTTAGCCGTTTCAGTGGGTCTCCCTCAAGTTCGCTTATCTTTTTTGGGTTGGGTATGTTTGAGAGGGGTTCACTTCGGCGTATCATAGTGTGCATGCAACACATACACACTTCTGTTGCTAACCGCTATCTGATACGGGCTATCTAAGATTGTACCCGTCTCAACGTCGTCGCAGTGGGAGGTACAATGTTGTTAATAAAACCTATGTCACCATGCGATCACCCAACGCATTGATGTATAACAACCGCAGCGATCACGCCATTGTAACAGCGCCGCGCAACGGCGAGACCAACAACAAAAATAACATTGCAATTTTTTCGTCGACAAAGCGACTGACCATTCGCGAGCGCGCCCCATTTTCCTGCACGTACTGTTACGTGCAGCCATGTCATGTTTACGCAGCCATACGTAAAAAGGAAGCAGAAGGAAAAAACGAACAACAAATCACAAACACTTTGTTTATGGGCCAATTGAGCATATGAGAAACGTGCACAGAATCGTGAATACAAGTTCGAGATGAACGCTGGGTGTTTTTTTACCAAACCTATCTCAAACATACCGAGAGAAATAGACTACTTCATCGATGAGTGCGGCAGCTATAATCCGTGGGCAAGTGTCAGCACTGTTTGCCGACCCAATCGTATGCCATGTATGCATTCATAGTATTTTTCGGTAAGAACAAAAGCCCTTTGGAAAGGAGCAGGCAAATGTCTAGATTTGGGATATATCTAGATTGAAATCATTGCAAAACCTCTTTTTTAAGTGTTTCGACCAATTATCGTTTCTATAACCCTTATTCATGTTATCATTATGGAAAAGGATAACCCCACTCGGCCAGCTGCAAATACATTTCAACAACATGTTGAACGCCTGATAAAGTGTTACATTACAACGAGAACCAGTCTAGTACATTGGCCTCTGCGTTATCCTTCATAGAAGTCATTCCTGATGACGCACGGTTTCGCCGCGTACAGGGCCAACCAAAGTTAGTCAGACGACTTCGACAAGACTCACGACGAGAAACTATATGCACTGAGTAGTTCTGTTTGTAAACATGTTTACCAGGATATATTGAAGCCTTTAGGCCCGCTTTGCTCGACTCTTCTTTTACTACCTGCTATACCACCGTAACAGCCTTCTTATATATATATGTTATTTTAAGAAAGAAATAACATAAATAGATCTATTGTAAAGGTGCAATACTTGTGATGGCTAAGCTCACCTAGCTAGAATCGAAAAAAAAAAAAAATTATTAAAAACAACAAAGAGCTTCTAAAGAGCTAAATATGCATAGAAATTATAAAATGTATTATTTAAATGGGATAGACCAAATAGTTTATTTATAATATAGAAGGAACAACGCTGTACTAAGTACATTGCCCATAAATCATGTATGTTTATTACTGAGAAACTAGTCTTATAGATAGTATCATATATTATACTACTATAAGTACCAAATAAATATATTTTAACTTAATAATGTACGAAATTGTTTTTAGAATGGCGATAAAGTACATTAATCAATTAGAAGCGCTTCTCGATGAGGCGCCCTCTGCAGTTGCCGGACACTCCCGAGCCGATAGCATTTCGCTAAGCCAGGCAATGGGAACCATAGGAGCATCATTAGGAGGCGTATCCATGGGCGTAGGGGCGAGTGTGGGCGGCCCTATTGGAATGGGTGTGTCTGGCCATTATTACGGCATAAATGGAATGAGCCCGGTGGTCGAGTGGTCCAGCCAGCAACATCACTTATCAGAGTCACCTAATTCTTGCGCCACAACATCAACGTCAACAGCTCCATCTCCAGTAACCACATTTATAGCAATGAACGTACCAGTCGTCATTTCTCAGTCGTCATACAACGATAATAACGCGACACTCAGCAGTAATCACAGTTCGCAGAGTCATCAATATGTGGACAACGCCAGCAATAACGGGACCAGCTCTCACACGGAGGCAAAAAATCGCCTTCAGAAGACTTCCTATTGGACTCGACAGGTACGTTATGCTCATCTGACTTGATCTATTGTTATAAGCATTTATATACTTGTTACGCAAATTCGATTCAAGGAGAACGCACCAGCTAGAATGACGCCGTTCACACTAGCCTTAGACTTGTTTTTTTGCCTAATGTCTGACAGTAACTATACTAGGCACCAATAGAAACATTGCTTCCTTTATCCATAGTACTGGCCACGACTAGCAAAAATGGAATATGTACGTAAAAACTTGTTCATAGATAAACAGGAAATAACGTCTTTATTCTACTTAACTGGCCGGTTAGAATAGATAGGGTAGTTTCAGCCGCCAACGGTACCAAATATATTTAGGCACAACTCAATTCATCAACTTTTTATCTTATTATAGTATTTTACACCAGAATAACAAAGAAAGAAGATCAAATAATGAAGAATAAATTGATTTTGGACTTTGATTTCAGAAAGAGAATCCGGTTTAGCCGGCGCTATATGGAAGCGTCTGTTAATTCCTAAGCTGTGAACTGGAATCGCTTCATCACAGGAGAACCCTAGTTGCTCCTGTTTCGAAATTAACCCATATCTTAATAGGCAAACTAAATCATTATCGTCAGTCCTTTCTTAGAAAACGTCTTAATGTTGTAACAATACAAATCACCACGTGCTTTTGACCACATTAACTCTTCTTACACGGTTTTTTTTTCCATAGCTGTATTAAAGGACAACAACCGCAACAATTTGGTGTGTTTTTATATAGGATACGAGTAGGACAATAATCTATGCAGCACTCGGTTGGCGCTATAACGCTACAAAAACTACGAAATTTTTTAGATATTTGTTGAATACGAGAAATTGTTTAAGGCTTGAAAGTAAGGAAAATCTTAAGATGATATATCCATCGTTTGTTATTTGTTTGTTTGTATTTGTCATCGTTATATGAACAGGTGCTTTCCTTATTTTATTTTTTAAGAATCTCAATCTGAAACTATGTATGCAAACAGTACGGCCCGAAGATTATCGGTCGTCAAGTTCGTAGGGAACCTTTCTATATTCCAAATATCTGAAAGTTTTCTAAGTTAGCCTGTTATAAGCGAGTTCTAGATGACACCATTATATATACATTGCATGCCTCATACAGTACCAGTGTCTTTAGATAGAGAAATAGCCCTATTTTGGTCCCACTACCCTCAAAGTGTGCCTATCAAAAGGCAAAAGCGAAGTGATAAATAGATAGGCATATCCGATATTCTGGCGCAAAAAGCTGGCAAAGTATTGGGTAGTTTATGCAGAAGTATCTTGTTTGATATCTTAAAAAAAAAATTAAGGTACCCAATCTGCTGAACTCTTAGTACACATAATTATTATGTATACTATTATTTTATTATTATTATTATTATTACCAGCTAGCAATTGTCATCGATGCAACATGTCAGTGAGTCGTTAAGTAATTAATAAAAACTAAACAATCACACATGTTTAAAGATGATATAGTGTATTTTTGTGTTCGTATTGTGTTAAGTTAGAGCAACTTCACGCATAGTAACTACATGGATGTCGATAATGATATAGTTTTTAGTACCACATAATTAGGTATGGATACTGTACGGATAACATGCACGTTGTTCGGTTTGAACTAAAAGTTTTTTTTACCATTTCTCAATGAGTTTTCTTCGTGTCTCCATGGGGAATTTTCTGTCCACTTAGCGTTGTTTATTTTTGCTTGGTTATTCTCAGACTATCAAAAGACTTTGCTAATGCTACAAACAATGAAGACAATAAAGAAGATTTGATAAATAAAAGATTTTTGTAGATATATTTATTAACGTCAACTGAACAAGCAGATAAAAAGGAAAGCGGGTGCCGTCAGTGGTCGAAGGGCAGCATTCGGCAGAGAAAGCGTAAGTACACGTCGACGGAAAGAAGAATGCCAAGTGAGAGTGAAAGCGGTCAGAGGGAAAAAAGGAGGGAGCTGGCATACATATATCTATATAGAATGTGGTGGGTCTGCCGGGCCCGGTGGGTGATGATCAAATATTTACTATTATTTGCTCGTTTTCTGCAGCCCTCCGCCCCTGCCCTTTCCGCCCAAGCCCCCTTTGCCCCGGCACACCACTGCCATTACGGTGCTTGCGGTCCGCTGCATTTGCTAGATCCTCTTACAGCAGGGCTTGAACTCGAGCTGTCCCGCCTTGTTGTTGTAGAGACCCTTGGCCTTATCCTTGTCCATTGGATGTCCGTCCAGTGGCCTTCTTTTACCCGAGGCAGAATCACAATCAGCATCCCGCAGCGGTGCCGTCTCCAACATCAGCGACATAGCCACATGGCCGTCTGATACGGTGACAATAGTGATGGTGTGCTAATAATCCTCCAGAACGCTAAGAGGAAGTGCAGCAGCGGTAGATGCAGCATCGGCAACATCGTCAATCTAACACCGTTGCAACGGCAGTATTAGCGAGGCGGTCTGTCGTTACTGTTGCCTTCGCGGTTTGTTTTTGCAATCTGCTGTCCTATGAATGCAACGTAGATCAGGACGGTATGACAACCGTTAGCTGGCATCCTGTAAATTCAATGGGGACGCCTCAAGTAGTTTGCTTACTCGCCGGTAAATGCATACATAATTCCGTTGACTGACGCATCTATCCAACAAGTGCGGCATTTTTTATCAGCGTATTTAAGCGAAGAAGGAAGTTCAGACAAAGGTAACGGTGCGATTAGTTTGCATACATATTTAGGGTACGTTGCACAGCAGACATCACTAGTATCGTACTATTCATTATTAATTAGTTTTATATACGTTTTCAACGGCTTTTAAATACTTACCTGCTGGTAAATTATTTTTGATTGTAACGGGCTATTTTTTAGTCTTTTTCCAGGACGACAAAGATTTGCCCAGGCAAAGCCTTTAGATTTGCTAAAATTATAGTTGGTCAATTAAAAATACATTATTTCATGTCCAAATAAGCATATATATTCTCGCGGATTAGTTTACGGGCCCTGAAATTAACATTCGCACCTATGGTATGATCAAGTATACTTTTATGAGAAACGGAGCTCACCGTGTTGTTTTTTTCCTTATATTCTACTATAAGTAGTGTAGTATCATTGTGTGTGCCTTGATTTCGCACCCCGACAGTTGTATTAATGTCAAGTCTCGTTAATGTCAAGGTTTTTGCTCGTTGACGCTTTAAATGATTCAATCCTTTGTTCCCCCGACTGGATCTGTTCTGTTGCTGCAGCTCTCGCTGCTCTGTCTCGCGCGTCAGCGACAGGAAAGGGTTAGCGTCTACTGGTATCTCGCTGCCGTTACGGCCGCTGACCATTCGGTTGGACCTACCTTTTTTACGCCGCTTCACTTTCGTCGGTTTAACGCGCATACGATTATGCTATCGAGAATAGCTGGTTAGAGTAATAACGTGTCACTACCGGCGAAGAAAAAAGGGCCAACATGGCGAAAAAATATTCAAAACGTAAAGTTCATTAATCAACATTCTTCACATTTAAGCTCTGCGCGCGTCCGTTTTCCGCCGCTGCTCCATACAGACCAGCTTATTCGTTTACACCCTGTTCGCTGACCAGTCCACCAGCCGACCTAGTTACCGGCTAGGCCTATGGGACAGAGTCGCCAGTCGAACAACGACGGCGACAATCGCAGTCGCAGCCTCACCCTTCGTTATTATTATTATCGTACGATTAGCAGCAGCAGCATCACCACGACGGCCCACGACAGCATCATCTAAGTAGGCGGCGGCCATCGTCGCCGTCATGTCGCCGTTGCCTTCCTGGTTTTGCCCCAACTCTACTTCGTAGTCCATCCACCAAGCAGATCGGCGGAGACGCCCGTTGCTGCTGCCCCGCCATCCCCCTCGTGCTCGTCGTCGGTTTTGGTGGATCGACAACTGCCGCCACTTGCCTAATCTGCTTCCAGGCAAATTCCTTTGTATTTGCTTATAGGCAGGAGAGTGGGGACAAGGCAAGCTTGTGAATCGGCAGTTGGCCTCGGCTTAGACTGTTCGTTCCGCCCTTAAGAGACAGATCTCAGGCTAGCTATCGTATCCTTAATTTTTATTCTACATTGCGTTCCTTTCGCAAACGTCGTTCGGGAAGGAGGTCATGCCAGTAGCTCGCGATATGGCCTATGCTATCTGCGACTACTTCCAAAAGCAAAACGCGGCCAGATATGATGGCAGCCATGACAAGAGCCGCTTTTTGGTCGGTTAAGGCAGTGTACGTTCATATCTCTGAAGGAAAAAGCAAATGCTTTGCACTCTTCTTGTCTAGCTAAAGGGATATCCTGGGCAGGTCCAAAAAAGCGGACTCAGGCTACCTTTTTCAAGGCGCTGCACGAAGCAAGAGGCTAGGATGATGCAGAAGAGACGCTGCTAAACCAGAGAGCAGACCAGCCTGTATTAGTAGCTGAGCTGTGAGAGTGCGTCCCCTGTACTAGCTAAGAACTTCCACGCAAAATATAGGCGCGGCCTTCTGTCCAAAGATTGGCACGTGCCGTTTTTCCCATGAACTCCCCTTCCGGGTCGTAGATGGAGGGCATATGTTGGTCCTCCAAGTTGAGTATCTAGCACCACAGTGTGCTATGGCGACCGAGGAGTCTGGTGCACCGTGACGCAGGCCCCCCGAGTTCACTGCGCTGCTAGCAAAAGGGCGGTTGGCAGTTGTGACACGGATCGGTTCGGCCAGTACGAGCGCCGTGGCATGACATGTATTAGATTCCTTCGCAACGACAAAGGATCAACGCCGATACACCTTCCAGCGCACAGCTGGAATTCTCGAGCCGAGTCAGTTTGTCAAATTTCTCTCGACTATAGGAGCAGAAAAAGGGCACACGGCATTCGTGCGCGCTTTCCTTCTCAGCCCTCTGTGTAAGCTTTACCCATTCTAAAATGGCCTAGATAGAGGAAAGCAAATAAGAAATTATCAAACGAAATAATCACTAAGAGTGGATTCAATGTGCAATTTTTAGTCGAGCACCATTACTATCACTATCGTGAGATAGTGATAGTAATGGTTTAATTAAACCCGTCCGCCGTACATGGGATATGGGTGATTGGTTTTGAAAAAAATTCGTGCGTGCCTTCCAGAGCCCAGAACGACGCCTCTGAGGGCTGAAAGGATCCACCATATGTAGGTTAAAAAAGACTCCTGGCAAGTATGGCTGAGGGAAACATCGAGTACGATCACGTTATTGAACAAGATCCGATGTGCTCCATTCTGCCTGTCGACAGAAATGGTGGGGCAAAGCTTAGAAGCGAAGGATCAACGCTTTACATGGCTCTACAAGGAAGGAAGGAAGGAAGCAATGATGAAAATATGGATTTTAAATTCGGAGATTTAGTCGGCAATGGAAAAAACTGGCACCGAGTTGGTTCAATGGGAGCAAAGAAACTAATCTTGAAAAACAGTAATGGAACTGACGGTAGGCGGGGTAGGCTGAGATCTATAATTTGCGACAAAATCGCCGGACTATATTCAAATTATCATAATGATTTTCACCGTATGCTGGTCGTTGAGTATTGGGCTTGTAGCAACTCAGTGGGCCAGTTTGACAATAAGCCCTTTAGCTGCTTATGTACCTCGGAAGGAGCACAAAAGCCCTTTTTAATATTAAGCGTTTGCTTAAACAGATAGGAAAAAAATTATATACGGCTTTTCTTTCTTTGTGTATAAATAGAGGTTTAAACTGTGGGCAAAAAGAATAGAAGCGCTATTATAGCTTCATATTATATAATTCTTAAATCGATCTTCATATAATCTGTCCCTCCCAAATAGAGAACTTTTCTAATAGAAGCTTGGCTACAGTACGCGAACTGCTTTGCCCGATCTTTGTTGCGTTTAGAAGTTCACCCTCATTCTCAAAGTTCTGAATAGAATTGTTTAGAGCAAAGATCAGTCTTACGCACAGAGTCAGGAGGCTTCAGGAGAGCAAAATGGTTTGAACACGTGTACGTGTACGTGTGCGTGTGCATGTATGGGTAGGAGTGTATCCGTGTGTGGGCGTCTGTGACTGTAAATGTATGACTTGGTGTGTGCCTGTGTGCAAGTGTGGAGTAGATATTTAATGTCTGTGTGGCCAACTTTACGTGTCGAAAAAGCGATCGAAGCAGTAAAAGTGGCTGGAAAAAAGTGCGACAAAAAAGCAAGGGAGTCATAGCAGTGAAAGTTAGAACTAATGCCCACTAAAAATCTTCCCGTTTTTAACCACACTTGTTCACTCTCAAGGTTTTTGCAGTTAGGTTCTTATAAAAAAAACTCAGTTGGGGGTGAGCATCGGAATAGAGACCTTTGTAGCTTCAGAGGGGGCCGTTCACAGTGGCCCATTGACTGCAGATTAGTGGCAGACAAACGTAGCTGGAGTCCTCTATATGGGCACAAACAGAGGAAGATGCGCAAGATGAGCGAATAGGGGAGAGACAGGAAACGGCGGTAGGGGGTAAAAATTGGGAAAAAGTGAGAAAGAGTCATTGTACAAGAACGCATAGTCTGTCATCATTGCTGAACGAGCTCAAGAGAGACAGATATTTTCTTCCTTATTTTTTTTTTTATAACTGTATTTGTACAAAACTTACGGCCACGTGATTGAGTTTACACTATGCAGGGAAAAAGCCCACCACAGGCCGACCCGGCTTTTGCACACATCAAGCACCAAGATTGGGCCACCAAAGGGCCCAGTATCGAGGCACTGCCTGCGCTGTGGAAGAATGGCGAGCGATGCAGTGTGGCGAACGGTGCGGTGGGGGAAAGCTTCGAGAAGAGGTCTAACCACTGACATGGCTGCCGATCGACTCACCGCCATTTTCAAACCATCCAAAAAAAAGAAGTATCTTGGCACGGTCCACCAAGCAGACTTACCGGCAACCTAAGGACAGAGAGGTTTGGTCCGATAGACAGGATCAGACTTCCGTTGTTACGAACCTACGTGACAATAAACCTATGTAAAGAGTGAGAGTAAGCAAGGAGCCCAAGCATGGATTCATGTGAGCTATGTGAAATACCCTCATGAAGTTTCGTTACGTGTACGAGTACATATAAGCCTTTTGTCTTATGGGTGATTCTATGTTTATCGAAAAAAAAAACATGTTCCAATTAATATGTTGGTAAAGAAAGTACTTGTATATCGAGGGACGAAAATTTGTAAGTTAGGCAAAATAAGGTAAATTAGTCAGCTATAGAAGACACCAAACTCTCGTAAAAATAACACTGCCAAAGCCCTCTGCTCTAACAAGTGCGGACGAATACAGTGATGTGTAAAAAACTTAGTATTTTTTGTGTGAAGGTAAATAATAACCACACTTTCAGATTGCCCTTGACAACAAAAAACATGGCGATGGGTAACAGCTGGTAGAGCAGCTAGGATTGGTTCGTATTTGACAAAAGTTCTCTTTAAATGGATAATGCTCGAAGCACTGTTCAGAGATTTGGTCTCACCTCGGCATTTTTACCCATCTTTTAAGAAAGGCTCACAGATCCATTTGGCCGTCGTCGTCGTGTGTATTCGTATAGCGATATCCAATTGGTCCAATGCAGAACAATTATTAAAACTGCATC